CTCAAATTCCTGGGCTCAAGTGATCTTCCTGCCTCAGCCTCCTGAGTAGCTGGGACTACAGGCACCCACCACAACGCACAGCTAATTTTTCTATTTTTAGTAGAGATGGGGTCTCACTCTTGCTCAGGCTGGTTTTGAACTCCTGAGCTGAAGGGATCCTCCGGTCTCAGCCTCCCAGAGTGCTAGGCTTACAGGCGTGAGCCACTGCGCCCAGCCCTATATGGGGAGAATTAGAAAGTGACTGTATATGCCTAGGGAAAGGTGCAGACTCAGGAAAGAACTGTGAAGACCTTAAGTTTACACCTCAGGCTAATCTTTGGCACAGAGAAAACCTACAACAATAATTAAAAAAAAAAAATACAAAACCCAGCAAACCCTAAGGAAGAGGGAGCATCTGAGTTACAGAGTTATCACATTATTAGAGTCAAATGCCCAGTTTTCAACAAAAATACCACAAGATATACAAAGAAAAAAATATGGGTCATTCAAAGGAAAAAGAAAAAAGCAACAGAAACTGTCCTGGAAAAACATCTAATGGCAGATCTATTCAACAAAGACATTAAAATAGCTATCTTAAGGAAGATATGGAGAAAGTCGAGAAAACTATATATGAACAAAATGGCAATATCAATAAGGAGACAGAAAAATCTAAAAAGAAACCAAAAAGACATTCTAGAGCTCAAAAGTATAATAATTGAAATGAAAACTTCAATAGAATTTTTCAAAGACAGATTTAAGCATCAAATCAGCAAACTTGAAAATAGAGTAGTAGAAATTATCAATTCTGAGGAGCAGAAATGGAGAAGATTGAATAAAATTGAACAGAGCCTAAGGGACCTGTGGGATACCATCAAGCCAACGAACATATGCATTGTGGGGATGTCAGACGTAGAAGAGAGAAAGAAAGGGGAGGAGGAGAATATCTGAAGAAATATTGGCTGAAAACTTCCAAAATTTGTTTGTTTTTGTAGAGATGGGGTCTCACTATGTTGCCCAAGCTGGTCTCAAACTCCTGGCCTCAAGTGATCCTCCTACCTCAGCCTCCCAAAGCACTGGGATTACAGGTATGAGCCATTGTGCTGGACCACAGCCAAATTTTTCCTTTGTTTTTTTTGTAGAGACAGGGTCTTGCTCTGTTACCCAGGCTGGAGGGCAATGGTATAATGATAGCTCACTGTAATCTCCAACTCCTGGGCTCAAGTGATCCTCCCACCTAAGCCTCCTGAGTAGCTGGTACTACACACATGTGCCACCATGCCTGGCTATGGCACAGCCAAATTTGATGAAAGACATGAATATAACATCCAAGAAGCTAACAAATTCTAAAGAGACCCACACAAAGACACGTTATAATCAAACTTCCAAAAGACAGAGAAAACCTTGAAAACAGCAAGAGAGAAGCAATTAATCATATACAAAGGATCTTCAATAAAAATATCCACAGATTCCTCATCAGAAACTTGCGAAGCCAGATGGCAATGGGCCAATATATTCAGAGTGTTAAGAGGAAAATACCTGTCAACCGAGAATCCTATAACCAGCAAAACTGTCCTTCAAAAATGGGGAGGTCCAGGTGCAGGGGCTCACACCTATAATCCCAGCATTTTGGGAGGCCGAGGCAGGAGGACTGCTTGAGGTCGGGAGTTCAAGACCAGCCTGAGCATCATAGTGAGACCCCATCTCTACAAAAATAAATAAATAAATAAATAAAAATGGTGGCACATGCCTGTAGGCCTAGCTACTTGGAAGGCTGAGGCAGGAGGATCCCTTGAGCCCAGGATGGTGGCATGCACCTGTAGTCCCAGCAGCTTGGGAGGCTGAAGTGGGAGTATTGCTTGAGGCCAGGATTTCAAGGTTACAGTGAACTATGATCAGGCCACTATACTCCAGCTTGGGTGACAGAATGAGACTCTGTCTTAAAAACAAAACAAAACAAAAATCCATTGGTATATGAAAAAAATCAAGATGCAGAATAGTGTATAAAAGAAAGCTAAAATTTATGTTAAGAAGAGGGATAGGCCGGGTGCGGTGGCTCACGCCTGTAATCCTAGCTCTCTGGGAGGCCGAGGTGGGCAGATTGTTTGAGCTCAGGAGTTCAAAACCAGCCTGAGCAAGAGCGAGACCCCGTCTCTACTAAAAATAGAAAGAAATTAATCAGACAACTAAAAATACATAGAAAAAATTAGCCGGGCATGGTGGCGCATGCCTGTAGTCCCAGCTACTTGGGAGGCTGAGGTAGAAGGATCGCTTGAGCCAGGAGTTTGAGGTTGCTGTGAGCTAGGCTGACGCCACGGCACTCTAGCCCCGGCAACACAGTGAGACTCTGTCTCAAAAAAAAAAAAAAAAAAAAGAAGAGGGATAACATTACTTATGTATGTATTTGGTTATATTTATATAAAATATCTCTGGAAGGATGGGGTGAGGGACTGGAGGGACTGCAAGGCTGGGAATAGGGGTGGCAGGGAGAATTTTTAAGTTTGACCTTTCGTACTTTTTGAATTTTGATGTATGTATTCAGTATTACTTAAAAACGAATAATGAAAATGAAAAGAAAACACAATGACAAAAATTAAAGACGTGCTATAGCAAAAATAAAAGTAATATATACACAAAGTCCAAACATTCAAACTGTACAGATGAGCATAAAATTAAAACAGTCCCTCCACTATATTCTATGCATTTGAAAGGATGTTTGTTGTATTCTATGCAGCATTTCTAGGTGTTTTGTAGCATGTGAGACAAAATATTAACAGCAAATGGTCCTGTGGTCCCAGCTATAACATAAGAAGCCATGTTTGCTCATTTCTGCTTGCCAGCATAATTTCACAAAGGCCCTGACTCTGTGATGATATGCAGCTCTCCGGAAGGATGCTCTGAAGACAAAACAGGATAGAGCACACTATGTCTCTTGCCTCAGTCACTACATTCCTTACAAGATAAATGACCCTAGTCCTTGCCTTTTCCTACACACAACATCTGACGCAGTTAATGATTATGTCTCTGTAATCTATAAGCAGATGTACTCTCACACCCAAACTTTGATATGATCCTGCTTTAATGTAACTTCTGCACAAGTTTGGTGTGATTTTGCCTGTAGTAAGCCTCCACTACCCGTATGTAAACTGTCAGCTGAAACACTGTTTTGGAGCAGTCTGGTAGACCCTCTCTGAAAGACTGCCTTCCAGCCTTGGGGGCTGTAGTACTCAGTCTACTATAATTCTTTAGAAGTTTGATTTTTCTCTTTAGTTGGCACAGGAATTTTTGGATTTTTTAGCTCTCCTCATTGGAAAGGGAAGTGTTCTTTCTCAACCTTTTTAGTATTAATGAATACCTTCTATGATCTTACTATACTCTCCTCACTTCTATGGACTACTATTCTGAAACCAATATCCAGTGTACAGCCAGCATTTGTTACAGAATAATTAATCTGGGCCTTGTGACTTCTTGTTCTATTAGGTTGGTAACTGTCTGATCCACCAATCACACTGCTGTCTTTATCAGTCAATCAGAGTTTCAAGAAAGAACTGTTCACTTAGTAAGAGACTCTTCAGTGTCGTGCCTTGTGCTAGGCCCTAGGGATAGATAGGACAATGTCCCTTTGTCCCTTCCTTGATCAGCTGGAGATTTTACTCTTTTTGTTTGTTTTTGTTTTTGTTTTTAAGAGACAGGGTCACACTCTGTCGCCCAGATTGGAGTGCAGCCTCAGCCTCCTGAGTACCTGGGATGACAGGTGCATGCCGCCATGTCTGGCTAATTTTTTACTTTTTTTTTTTTGTAGAGATTAGGTCTAGCTATGTTGCCCAGGCTGGTCTCAAACTCCTGGCCTCAAGCAATCCTCCTGCCTTGGCTTCCTAAAGGCATAAGCCACTGTGCCTGGCCTTTTTTTTTTTTAAAGACAGAGTCTCACTATGTTGCCCAGGCCGGAATGCAGTTGTTATTCAGAGGCTCATAGCTCACCACAGCCTGGAAGTGATCCTCCTGCCTCAGGCTCCTGAGTAGCTGGGACTATAGGCACATGTCACTGTGCCTGGCAAATTCTAATAAATCGATCTAGTCCTAGCCCAATAGTTCTTTACCTAGCACAGTGGAGACTCCTTAGAATCTCCTGAGATAACTTTTCTAAATATCGATGCTAGTCTCCACTACTCAGAGGCTCTGATTCAGTAGAGAGTGCCGTCTAGATACGGATGTTTTTGGCCTAAGTGATTTTGATTGGGGGTGATGGGGAAGTATGAACGTATAATTTCTTTCTTTCTTTTTTTGGGACAGAGTACTGCTCTGTCGCCCGGGCTAGAGTGCCATGGCGTCAGCCTACCTCACAGCAACCTCAAACTCCTGGGCTCAAGTGATCCTCCTGCCTCAGCCTCCCAAGTAGCTGGGACTACAGGAGTGGGCCACGACGCCGGCCTAATTTTTCTATTTTTGGTAGAGACGGGTCTCGCTCTTGCTCAGGCTGTTATCAAAATCCTGACCTTGGTGATCCTCTCGCCACGGCCTCCCGCAATGCTAGGATTATCGGCCTAGCGGGGTGAGGCACCCCGCCAGCCTAACACACTCTGACTCTCGTGACTATCACCAGTAACAGTATGCAGAACAATTCCAGCACAACACTCCCGAGAATTTCCTCAGGATGCCCTCTTGTGAGTCCGGTGTCTGGCCAAGCCTTCCTCTTCGCGTCAGGTCCCACTCCAAGCCTACTGGCTCTCAACATAAAGAACGTGATCACAGGCTCAGAGGTGGGGACTGGTGGCTACTAGGTTATAAAGATATTTTTCAACGGCTGAGGCGGACTCAGTCCTGAGGCCACGTACGGGAACCCGGACCTAGGACTCTGTGAGCCGAGAGCTGGAAAACTACCTACCCCTCGCCCTGCACAGCCGCACGCCGCGCCGCGCACGCGCAGCAGCCCATGGCGCGCCGTCCCGCGCCGCTTAGTGTCGCCGGGGCCTGCCCCCGGCCCGCCTCCGCCGCCTCCCGCCCCGCCTCCCGCCCGGAGGGAGCTCCGGCCGTCCCGGCCTCAGTTCCCGGCTGTAGTCCGCTGCGCTCGCCTCTGCCGGGCACTGGCAGAACCATGTCTCCCTCCTTGCAGAAGCTTCCGCCCCTGCGCCGGGTTTTCGTGGTGGGGGTTGGCATGACCAAGGTAAACAGAGCAATGTATCCGTGGAGGCGGCCTCCCTGTCCCGGTCTGCCTCAGTGAGGCGGGGGAACCTCTAGGTGACAGGAAACCGAGGCGATCAGTGCCTGCGCTGAGGAAGCCGGCTCCCAGCTCCGGCTGCTTGGCGCGTTGGGCATCCGGGTGGCGACTCGGGGCGGGGCGGCGGGGAGGGAGTGGGGGTTGCGATCTGCGGTGTCCCTGGGGGTTGTGGTGTCTCAGGCTTGCTCCTGCGCCATTTCTTTCTCCTTCCCTTTTTTTTCTCCCTGGTCAGAGTTTGTGAAGCAGCCCTCAGGATACCCAAGGTTCTCACCTCTTTAGATTCTGGGTGAAGTCCTAAGGAATATGGAGCTCTACCCGAGGCAAGGGCCATCTCGCACCAGAAGGGAAGCAGGTCATGAATGTCAGTAGCTCTGCCCTCCTAGGAATACTTCCAATAGGAGCCCTTCTTAGAGACAGCTCCAGGTGTGGATCGGGAGGAGAGACACTAGTGATGCTTAGCGTCTTGACACAGGTGGCAGGTTTCCTGGATCCTCTAACCCCCTATCTGTTCCTCAAGTGTCAGCTTGGAACTCTGGAGGCCAGAGGCTGCTACAGTCTTATTCCTTCCTCTTCTTTCGTCCCTCTGCTGCCCATGTTGGAGTGCAGTGGCACGGTCAGCCTTCCGAGTAGTTAGGACTATAGGCGGGCACGATCGTGCCTGGTTAATTTATTTAGTTTTTGTAGAGATGGGGATCTCCTTACGTTGCCCAGGCTTGTCTGCAATTCCTGGCCTCAAGCATGATCTTCCCACCTGGGCCTCCCAAAGTGCTGGAATTACAGACGTGAGCCACCATGCCAGGCCAGGCTTTTTTCTTGACGCCCTTACCACCTCCATGCTCTAGTCATGCCAGATTGCCTTTAGTTTCTCCCCTTACTCTATGGTTTTATACCTGTGTTGCTTTGCTTCTGTTGTTTTTACTACTTGTACCATTTATCTTCTCAGCTGGTTAACCTTTTTTGCATTCTTAAAGAATCATTTCTGCACTCTGGGAGGCTGAGGCGGGCGGATTGTTTGAGCTCAGGAGTTCGAGACCAGCCTGAGCAAGAGCGAGACCCCGTCTCTACCAAAAATAGAAAGAAATTAATTGGGCAGCTAAAAATATATAGAAAAAAATTAGCCGGGCATGGTGGCGCATGCCTGTAGTCCCAGCTACTTGGGAGGCTGAGGCAGAAGGATTGCTTGAGCCCAGGAGTCTGAGGTTGCTGTGAGCTAGGCTGACGCCATGGCACTCACTCTAGCCAGGGCAACAAAGTGAGACTCTGTCTTAAAAAAAAAAAAAAAAAAGAATCATTTCTGGTCTTATCTTCTCCAGGAAGCCTCTGATCCTCCTGACTTTCCAGTAGAGCCTTGTACTGCACTTAACCTCTATCTTAGTACTTACTATGTTATACAGTACTGAAATTCTGTTTATATGTCCGTTTTTTCCCAAAGCATGTAAGCTCTTCCAGGGTGGGTACCACATCTTATTCACGGCTATACTCCTGTCACCCTGAAAGTGCCTGGTCCCTGAAGGCCCTCAATGAATGTTAGTTGAACGATATTAAATAGATATACTTTGTGAAAGAATTCCTAGCAAGAGTTCTGTTTGTGAGAAAGCAGCCCTAAAATTTTTATTATTTTACCAATAGGCTGAGAGTACACAATTCAATCAAAACATGTAAATAGAAAAGTCAACCGATACCTTATAAACCAGAAGCTTGGAGATCATCCTATTGTTTCATGGAAGAGGGGACTTATAATATAGGTGGACAGTAAAACTTTTAAAGTATGGTATTAATACATTCAGATCTTCTGTTGGCTGTTGAATGTCTGATTATTATGTGGGCTGTATGGAAAAGCACAGTTTTCTAACCCTTTGGGAAGTAGGAGATGTACTTTTTCCTCAAGTTGGGAGGTAGAGGTGGGAGAGGTGTTAAAGTCCTCAGGGAAAAGATGGGGAGTATGGAGAGTGCCATTACTGATGTGCTTAATAGGCTAGAATACCTCCCTTTGGGTCTGGTCTGCTGGATCCCGAGTCAGGATTTGATGAAGAGGGAGAAATCTACTAGGTAATTAATATCATCAAGTTCTTTTTTTAAAGTTTTTTTTATTTTTCTACTTTTGAAGGAACTTTAAAGTTCTGTTAATAGATTTCTATTGGTTGGGCTCTTTAGTTATGTTTCTTAATTTGAATAGCTGAATTTTCTAGACAATTTGAAGTTCTCTTAATGAGGTTTTATTATTCAATGTAGGAAATGAGTTAGAATTCCTATGGTGGGTGTCAACATGTTTTAGCACAATAACTAAGTCACGACTGCCATCTGCCTGACAGCAGGCCAGACCCTTTGTTTAAGCTGCCTACCTCGTGATATGCCCTCTTTCATCTACTTAGATTCTACCTGTCTTTCAAGAACTAGTCCAAGTCCCATGTCTTCTTAAAAATTCCTCAGGCTCAGGTGCAGTGGCTCATACCTGAAATCCGTGCATTTTGGGAGACCAAGGGAGTAGGATCCCTTGAGGTCAGGAGTTTGAGACCAGCCTGAGCAAGAGCGAGACCCTTTCTGTACCAAAAATAGAAAAAATTAGCCGGGCATTGTGGTGCGTACCTGTAGTCCCAGCTACTTCGGAGGCTGAGGCAGGAGGATCTCTTGAGCCTATGAGTGTGAGGTTGCAGTAAGATATAATGATGCCACTGCACTCCAGCTGGGATGGCAGAGTGAGACTTGGTCACCTTTTTTTGAAATTCTGGGGCCCTTGTAGTCAGGACATAAAATTTAGCACCAAATTTTTCGAGTGCTTTTATCTATAGTGATTCCACAACCTACAGAAAGAAATACATCTTACATCACGTCAACGGAAAAGAAGCCAAACTCTGTAAAATAATTTTAAGAGGTTTATTCTGAGCCAAATTTGAGGACCGTGACCTGGAGCCATGCCCAAGAAGCCTTGAGCAAGTGGTCTCCCTGTGGTTGGGTTACAATGCGGTTTTATACATTTCAGGGAGAAAGTCATAAAGTCATAAATCAATACATGGAAGGCATCATTGATTTGGCCATCTGAAGGGGAGCTTACAGGTTGTAGGTGGCTTTAAAGACTCTTTGACTTGTAACTGGTTAAAGACAGTTGAAGCTTTTGTCTAAAGACTTTAAATGTTTTACCATAAGGATCTCTGTTAATCTGAGACAAGCTATTACATATATTTGTTGTGTAAATCGAGGACCTGCAGGTTTGTCTTGCATAACCTTTGTCTTACATAACGTTAGGCCTGTCAATGAGTTACAAAGCTTATCTCCAAGAAGGGAGAGGGGCTTGATAAGGCATGTCTGACCTCCCTCTTCATGGCAGACAATTTTGTTTTAGGATATCCCCTTAGCCAGGAGGGAGTCCATTCAATTAGCCAGTGAGCGGGAAGCCTTAAGATTTTACTTTAGTTCAAAATCATAACCCAGTACATACATATACACAGGTGAACCAAGTTTGTTAAAGCGACACTTATTACGTGTGATGAACTAACTCATCATAGCTCACCTGGATCCTCCTGCCTCAGCCTCCAGTGTTGCTGGGACTACAGGGATGTGCCACCAGGATGCCTGGCTATTTTTTTTTTTTTTTTTTTTTTTGAGACAGAGTCTCACTCTTTTGCCTGGGCTAGAGTGAGTGCCGTGGCGGGATGCGTTTGTCTCACTGTGTTGTCCAGGCTGG